GTGTGGTTTCAGCAACCAGCTCCCGCCTTTTTGCCCATTTTCGATTATCCGGGAGTGACGCGCGGCGACGCGCTGCCAAGATGGCGACAGCCGGCTTCGCCTACTTTAGGCTTCAAAAACGCTCTTCGGAAACCTACGGGTGGCGTCACGGACACTACATCCATGTTTTTATACAGTCTATGTTTCATACACGACATAGTCGTGAGATGCAAGAAACATAGACATATGGCAAGAAATCTGTAGACGCGTCCATAACAACAAAAGACAATACTTTATTGAACCTTTTCTGATAAGAAGTGTGCGCTGCAAACGCGAACATTTTTGACAATCATTTCTGTCCAGTCTGCTTGTTTTATCGCGTTTAACCACAGCTGTCGTCGGGGTTTTTGTCTGGCAGTGGCAGCAGATATGCGATCAAATTTCTAAATTGAGGCTGTATTACGTCGATTCTGGCACCCAACATCACAACAAGATGATATTTTAAGCTCCTTATGTAGCCGAATCTGCGTTGGTTTGAATGGGCCGCCTCCAGTTTCCCCTTTGTTTTGCTGCCTCAAGCTAGCGCTTTGACGTTGACTGACCCTAGTTACCTGCGGTTGGCCTGGCCGTGCGTCACTCAGAAAACAACAGGCCAATCAGAAGAGAGGCTCATGAATATTAATTAGACAGGCCAAAATCGACCTGTTCTCAGCAGAGCTCCTGAGAGAGGAGCTGTAGAAATATATTGAGATGGTTTTTGGTACTTATACCGCAAATCTATTTTCTTAAGGACATCAAGACTTAAAAATAAAACTCCAGAAAGGTGTAAAATATGTGACCTTTAAACGTAAAAATAAAAATAACGTTTTTGTAAACTTTAAATAATGTTGTAATCACAAGAAGAAAAGTGGACATGTCAACGTTTTAGAAACATTTTTGAAGACATTATTTAAAAAAAACTAATATATATGCATGAATAATTTTAGACAGTAGTTAGTTTCTGAGGTTGTGCAGCCGAAAAAAACAATTCTGTCTAAATAAGGAGAGAAATAAAGTGACGTACTGGACAAAAGTGATGTGCACCGCATGAGAGAAATGTTGAGAGAGACAGAAGCTGTTCCTCTCTGGGGCAGTTTGAGTCATGATTGCATTGTGAGTTAATTGGCGTTACCAGCAGACAGATATAAAGCTGTGCACCCTGATCAGATTGGAGCTTCGCCAGGCTGTTGAGGAAGCTCATGCGTGTAACCTGAGAGGAAGACACCTCAGGAACCTTTTCAGGGGTCTGTCACCGCTGTTTGGATTCCCTCCAAGTAACATTTACTCATCAGCAGAAAAACCAAACTCCAGCGGCTGCTCTCGACAAACCAATGGATCTCATTCATACCAGGAGACAGTGAATGATCTCAGACCATCTACCAAAATCAAAACCATGCTACATGACCTTGCTGTGACATTATTCAGGAAACAGCAGCAGTAGCAGTTAAACCACCCGGGCTGATACAATGTTTAAAGTAATAGGAGTGAAAATTTCTGTAGATTTTACAGAAATATCAGTTAAATATAAATTATTTTTATTTAATTTTTAATGTAAATTTAATAATAACAAATAAATATTAAAACACCTATATATATTATTTTAATAAATTATTATTCATGTAATGTTTGAATATTACCTCTATATCTACATTTGTATATTATGTAATAATATTTTAAAATATTCTTAAATTTACGTATGGTTGGTAGGGTGTTTTGGGTGATTGCTAAACAATAGTGTCAATATTCTGCTCAAGTCAGTTCAAGTTTTGTTCAACAAACAAGGCTTGAAAATAGGAATGAAAATTTCAGAAACTAAGTAGATTTTTGCAAGAAATATTAATTAAAAAAGGTATTCTTTTTATTGGAAATATTTTATATTTTTATTTTAATGACAAATTTAAAACAATAAATCTGTATTATATATATA